CCCCCTTCCTGCCGCGCCATTCTCTCCGCCCTGATACGTTTTCCATCGATTTCCCATGAAAAGGGGTTGTTCGGTCGCTGCTAAGTGCACCGCGTAAAGAGGTGAAGGCAAAGAGTCGTTTCGAAAGTTCCACACTGGGCGCCATTAAAGATAACCGTAAAACCTTAACTAAACCGACGCGGACTTTAAAGTAACGATAAATAATAAAAGTTGATCCGCGCGCGGGCCTGCCGTCGATCAAAAGTTTCACCGTTTCCCCTATCCGTGGCACGAAATTATTATCGCTCCCCCCCCGCCCCTTCCCTCCGCCATGGCGCTCTGTTCAGTAAATAGAGGTAAACAAGAGAGATAAGAAGACGGATAAAATGAAGCGAGATACGATCGAGAATGTGAAATGCGCGCGATAGGAACATTACTCTTTATAACGGACATATCCCTCGGCATCCAGATTTATGGATAATCGTTAACATTACTTATATATAGTGTTAACGATTTCTCACGCGGCAACAATATCCGATTAAAACTACCGATGCGTCGTCGTCACATGTTATATAAAAAAGTGTTTCACGTAAGAGATTATTTGTGAATAAATAATAAGAGCACGATATCTTCTTTCGACCATTGGGAATATCGATTAAAAAAAAAAAAAAAAAATACAGTGGACAAATAAATGCGTTATATAATATTTTTTATTATATTATCGCGTTTTTGAAAAAAAAAAAAAGAACGTGTTTCGCGATAATAAATCTGACGTTAAAATTTAAAAGTATCATAAAACCCTGTGATTTACATGATTTAGGAAGAAATTAATATGCGAGCTCAGGCATCGCGTCGACGTTTTACAGGTTTCATATGTTTTATGATAACGCGTACGATACTATTATAAAGCGCTATAAGTCATGCTGTAAAGAAGTAGCGACTGTTTTACCTCTTAATCTAGACACTTAAGAATTACATAGGACGTAATCGAGATTCAGTTGCGAGACAGGCAAGCGGACGCCGACGGTTTAATCTCCGTTTAAATTTCTTGTAATAAAGGGACCCTAATCTTAATTATGAGCCAAGAGAATTAATCTCAATGACGGCCGTCCTTAAACGTTTCTTAATCTCGTCGTTTCTAGAATAAACTTAGTTGGGAAAATTCGCGGTGATCGCAGTTTCTTCACATCCATTTCAATCAAAGGGAAGTTTTTCCTTTCATCATTGACACGCGCAATTTAAAAATATCGCGCCGATATTCTCCCTGTATACACACACACAATAGCATTTCAATAAAAATTGGGACGTTCGAATGAAAAAAATATAAATCTGAAAAATATTCATTAACGGAGAAGCATATACGTTATATATTTCTATACGAATAATTGCCAGACTAACGTATATATCGTTTTTCAATTTCATTATTGTTCCGTTTGAATTAATTGCGATTTTTCCACAAATATATTTATTTCACTTATTAATTCGCCGTATTTGCGCTTGCTACCTCCGTGCCTCATGTCCAGTGTAAAATACTGCAAAATCAGCTGCATTAAATCCCAACAACACCAAAGTCTATCTAGTTAAATCCGGTCTGCAGTTGCGGCTTACGCCGTCAGCACGTTGCTACTTGTTCGGCAAATCAACTGTACACTAATTTGTAATTGTAGCTCCGTAATTTCCGCGGCAATAAACAAGCTCTCCCAATGACGACGCTCCCCGTCCTGAGATCGATCGCGGGACGAGGTTCCTTTCGGTCTCTCTTCTGTAGTTGCGCCAGGGCGATCGCAGATAAAGGATATTGCACTAAATCGGGTGGAGGGAACAGTCAGTCCTTG